GGAGTTAACTGTAAGAGTATCAGTTTTCTCCTGTAAACACTATAACAATATCAACAAAACAAATGAAAGCATTTACATGCTGTTATTACCCTTGAACTTGCAGTAAATTTGTGCAACTTAGAACTGACAACTGCCAAAACAAGTCTGCAAATATATCCTTCAAGAATGCTCTTTTATTCCACAAGGGAACTACTGGAACTAATAGAAAGATTCAACAGAGTAGCAGGATACAAGATAAACACACAAAAATCAGTTGGATTCCTATACACCAATAAATGGAATGCCAAAAAGAAAATCAAGAAAGCAATACCATTGATAATAGTGCCTAAAAAAAACAACAAGAAAAACACTTAGGAATAAATCTAACCAGGGACGTAAAAGACATATACAAAGAAAACTACAAAACACTGCTGCAAAAAACTAAAAGTGACCTACATAAATGGAAAAACATACAATGCTCATGGATAGGTAGACTCAACATTGTGTAAATGTCAATTGTACCCAAAGCAGTCTACAAACACAGTGCAGTCCTGATCCAAATACCAACAGCATTCTTTAGCAAGATGGAAAAACTAATCATAAACTTTACATGGAAAGGAAAGGGGCCTCGGATAAGTAAAGCATTACCGAAGAAAGAGCACAAAGTAGGAGGCCTCGCACTGCCTGACCTTAGAATCTACTATATAGCTACGGTAGTCAAAACAGCCTGGTACTGATACAACGACAGACTAATGGAACAGAATTGAGAATCCAGATGTAAATCCATCTACGTATGGCCACCTGATCTTTGAGAAAGGCCCAAAGTCCATTAAATGGGAAAAAGACAGTTTTTTTTGTTTTTTTTTAAGCAAATGGTGCTGGCAAAACTGGATGTCCATCTGTAAAAAAATGAAGCAGGACTTGTACCTCACACCATACATAAAAACTAACTCAAAATGTATCAAAGACCTAAATATAAAACCAAAAACTATAAAGATCATGGAGGAAAAAATAAGGTCAACACTAGGGGACCTAATATACAGCATAAATGGCATCCAAACCATAATTAACAATATACAAATACTGGAAAATAAACTAGATAAATGGGATCTCATAAAAATTAAACACTTATGCTCATCAAAAGACTTCACCAAAGGGGTAAAAAGAGAACCTACTGGCTAGGAAAGAAAAAATTTGGCTGTGAAATGTCCAACAAAGTTCTAATGTCTAAAATGTATAGGAAAATCCAACACCTCTACAATAAAAAGACAAATTATCCAATTAAAAAATGGACAAAGGATGTGAACAGAAACTACACCAAAGAAGACATTCAGACAGCTAACAGACACATGAGGAAATGCTCACTATCACTAGCCATTAGAGAAATGCAAATCAAAACTACAATAAGATACCATCTCACCCCGACATTACTGGCACCAATAAAAAAAAACAAAATAGCAAATGTTGGAGAGTTTGTTGGAAGATTGGAACTCTTATGCACTGCTGGTGGGAATGGAAAATGGTACAACCATTTTGGAAAACAACATAGCACTTCCTTAAAAAGCTAGAAATAGAAATACCATACTATCCTACAGTCCCAGTCCTAGGAATCTATCCTAGAGAAAACACAAGTAGACATATGCACACCCATGTTCACTGCCAGCATTATTCACAGTAGCAAAAAATGGAAGCAACCTAAATGTTCATCAGCAGATGAAGTGGTAAACTATGGTACGCACATACAATGGAATTCTATGAAACGATAAAAAACTGATGAATCTGAGAAACATCTCACAACATGGATGAATCTCTAGGGCATTATGCTGAGTGAAATAAGTCAATCACAAAAGGACAAATACCATATGAGACCACTATTATAAAAACACAGGAAAATGTTTCCACACAGAAAGAAACAATCTTTGATGGTTATGAGGCAAGGGAGGAGTGGGGAGGGAAAAGCACTAACTAGATAGTAGATACGTGGTAACTTTCGTAAAGGGTAAGACAGTACACAATATCGGGGAAGTCAGTACAACTTGACCAGGGCAAAGTCATAGAAGCTTCACAGACACATCCAAATGCCCTGAGAGACCGAGCTACTGGGCTGAGAGCTGTGGACCATGGTCTTGGGGGACATTTAGCTCAACTGGCATAACACAGTATGTAAAGAAAATGTTCTACATCCAACTGTGGTGAGTAGCAAGAAAAAAAAGAATACTCTTTTATATCCTGTTAATCTATTATTAGCATTTCTTGAATTTTACTACTTTTGTATTAGCCCTTTCTCTTTTTGAAAAGTTTAATCTTCTGTTTCTCTAGTGTATGTCTGGGGAAATGAGAAGGGAGGAGAATTTTCTTATCTTTATTTCTATACTTATACTATACTGTTTTAGGGAAGATATTCTTCAGGAGCTCCTGAATGAATTTTGAGTTTCCTACGTATTTCAGAGAAAAATACTAAAAACATACTTAGCTGAGGCAATGAGCTGAGCATCATGAGCCCCGTCTTCAAAATCTGTCTGAATAATGAGGATTTTACATCTGGCTGTGTTAGTTAGGCACTTCCTGAAAGGGAAAGAAATATATCTGAGTGAATTCTCTGTCCTAAAAAAGGGTAACAAAATTCCCAAAAGTGATGGGAAATATAAAGGCCACAAAGAAAATACCATTCAGAGGGATTTTCCACTATAAGATGAGGAGGCTATCCTGAGGAGAGGAAAAAAAAAAAAAACCCTAATAAGTGCTTCCCAATCAGATATAAGGACAGTGATCTTAGGAAAGATGTTAATGACAGGTACGGAGTAGAAGATAAGAGATGAGAGGGACACTGGAAGAAAGGAACAACTATTTCAATTCCGTGTCCTCAGTGCTCACTAACCAATGCTGGTGACAATGCGAGTGATTATCATAGCCACACAGTCACTAGTCGCACGCCCCGAGTGTGTCGGAATAGAACCGTGCTCCACAGGGTTTTCATGGCTCATTGTTTAGGAGTAGATTGCAAAGCGTTTCTTCCGAGGTGCCTCTGGGTGGACTTGGACCTCCAACCTTTCAGTTAGCAGGTGAGTACTTAATCGTTTGCACTACCCAGGGACTGCAGCCATAGAGTCATGAAATACAAAACGTCAAGGTGGAAATCGGGGGGAGAAGGTGGGGAGTGCTCACCGGACGTTTTGGAGGAAAGAGTACTCCGTGTCAAACTGCTGCAGGGACATGATGGTGGGCCTCGCAGCCCTGCCCTTCACCTCAGATTCTAAAATTCCACAGTCATGACTGGTGAGCAGTCTGGAGAAAGTGGTGATCTGCAAAGTTAGGAAATGCAAGTGATTTGTGAGGATTCACGTAAAAGTGGCACATCCTCCAAGATAAATATCTTCTGTGTGCTCAGCATTGTGTGTTTGGTGCACAGACAACAAGAATCCAAGCCAAAAGGAGTTTTCAAAAGCTGGCAGTGCTCAGGCAGATAGAACCTATGGGGACCAAAAAGCATAGAGAAGATGCTTCCTGCCCCTGAGATGACTTAGTAGCCTTCCCAGAACCTAGTATCTTTTCCTGTTTTGGTCCCTCTTGAAGTTCTGCTGATAACTTCTTTCTTGTAATTTTGCTTCCTACCTTCAGCGGAGTTAGCTGATGGTTCCCCTGCCTTCCCACAGCTGTTAGCTCTTCTTTCCCACACTCAGACTCTCCTAAGGGCTCCCGACTATCTCCAGCCCAGACCCTACCTCTTAGCTCAGATTCCTATGTCCAACTGTATGATGAACATGCTACTCAGATGTTACAAGCATCAAAACCTATCATAAGTGGAATTTATCATTGCCTCCCCAAAACTCTTTGGCCAGTCTTGGATTCCTTATCTTCATTAACCATAGCACGGTCATCTAAGGAAGAATCCAAGGTGTCACCCCTAGACTCCCCCATCTCCCAGGCCCAGAATGGAATTGGTTATTAAGCTCTGCCAGTTTGGATCCTATTTCTCAATTCTACGCCTTCCTCTATTTTGCTTGAACTGGTGGTACAGCAGCCTTCCAACTAGTCTGTCAGTCCTTTACCAAACTTGGTGTTTCTATCTCGCAGGCAGTGGGGCACAACAAAAAGACATATCCCTCAATGACGCCCCTCTAGACAAAAAAATCTGAACTCCTAGTGCAGCTGACATGGCCCTCCATGAAGTCTTTCCCACGATTATCTTGTCCTCATCTTCCAGCACGCACAGCCTTGAACTCTGAGCTCCTTCAATGATGCCCTTCTGGTTTCCTGCATGCACGTTGTTTCCCCCTCGACACCTTTGCTCAAGTGAGGCCCTCTGCCAAAAGTTCCCCCAGCCATACTTCTGAGTTCAGGGCATCTCTCGAAGAAAGGCTTATCTGACCTTTTCTCTTGATCCTTTTTGCCTCTCTGCATAGCATTTATCACAGTATACTGACTACCTGTTCCTGGCTCTTTCTGTCCATCTTGCACTGCAAGCTGGTCAAGGACAAGAACGGTGCAAGTGTGTTTTTATATCCTTAGTGCCCTCAGCTCAGTTCTTGCACGTGGTACTCCATTTGTTGAAATAAATGTTGTATTAGTTTTACAGTCTGCACAGAGCACTATAGAGACATAGGCCCTCAAAACTTAGTTAAACTGAATTTATATGAATAGCTTGGATCTCCTCATACTTAACATGTAGAAGAGCCAAAGTCTCGACATATCCATTCACAACTCCTATACACTGACTTCAAAAGAATCTTGAATTCAGGATACTAGGGATTCATGAAAGGTTAGGTGAAAGAGGAGACAGATGAAAATGTACAAAGATAATCACCTCTGTGAAGACAGCATGGTGTTCCAGATCCTTCATGTGAAGGTGAGCCTGAAGGAAATCTGCAAAGGAATTATGCTGCTGCTTGTAATAGTATTCTTGTGACAGTGACTGTGCTGCAAACCCCCCCAGTGAAGATGTGTTCAGCCGAACCACAGCGTCAGGGGTTGCACAATCCAGCAGGATCAATTTTGCTTCCTCAGACACCGTCTGGTAGAGGTCCCCGGTCAAGTCCCTGTGACCTTGCCTCTCTAAGACCTGAAGCACCACAGAGGCACACGTGTCAGAGTGGTAGCCAATAAAGACATCCGATGGGCTGTATTTGTGTTTGGCTTGGAACTGATCTGCTTCCATGTGTATGAATTCCTCCACCCATTCCTTGAGTTTTTCCACAATGTTCTTCTGCCATTTCTCCAACACAGTATTGATATCCAGATAGTGCTTCTCCAGCCGGTTGATAAGTGGGATGGGGAAATATCTGTACACAACATCTTTCTCTTCAATGACGATCAAGCGGAAGTCTGGGTGAACCCTGCACTTGACACGATGGGTCCCCAGGCCCAGGTCCACATACTTCTGACCACCCAGGTAGACGTAGTACTGGTTGAGTGCATCATAGAGGCTCTCGTAGAGGTTCTGCAGATTGAGGAGGACCACCATCTTGCCTGTTTCCATGCAGATCTTCACGCGGTTGATATTTCTGCAGACCTGGGTGTATTCTTGGTCCTTAGGAAAACTGGAACCAAAAATAATCTCTGGCTGCTGCTCCTTACTGAAGAATGTCTGCTGGAGGATCTGCAGGGCCACGTAATTTTTGGTCAGTACGAGTAAGTAGCGGCATTCAGCGTCTTCCAGCTCTCTACCCGACCCCTTTTGATGATCACCATAAATGTTCTGCTGGATCAGCTGGATAGTGCTCACTTCTTCAGAGCACCTTGCCTCGGGTAAATTGGCCATAAAAATGTCCAAAGCATTGATGTCATCTTTGCCACTGAAGTTCCGAAGGACAGCCTGTGCAATGTCTTGTGGGGAAGGCTTTTTATTGGAAGCTTTGGCCATGGCAAAGACCATTTTGATGAGGCTGTAGTAGTCACGAAGCCCAAAGAATTCCTTGTCTTGGTTCCTGCACACTGTTTCATAGGCTTTGGCAAAAGATGCAAAATACCCTTGGACTCTGTCTTGAATGAGGGTGTCTGAATGGCAGATTCCCTTGGCACTCTCTATGAGCTGTTTCTCGTTGGGACTGCCACGTGACACAAATATGCCCCGGTTCATCTTGGCGGGGTCAAGAGCCCAGTTGGAAATGCCTATGAAGCCAACCTTTTTATGGGGCGCAGGATCATCTTCAATGCAGCCGTCTTCCAGCAGTGGGTGCAGAGCCTTCAGGGGCATCTTGGGAGAGTCTTCAGCCAGTCCAACCTCATCTAACACCACCACGGAGACATACTGCTGCAGGTCCTTGCCCTGCTGGAAGCGGGCACACTGCTTAAAGGTACCTATGATCCCCTGGGGGGTGGAGTGTGGGCTGCACTGGAACGACACCAGGTGGACCTGCTTCAGGTTCCGGAAGAGATCTGAGTAAGCTGCCTGACCTTGCATAGCATCGGCCACAATGGTCTTGGCAAGAGATTTGGAGCTGCCGGGCTTCCCAACCAGGAAGAGAGGAATCTTAAGCTCAATGCAGACTACCATCATGAAGACATTCTCCTTCAAAGCCAAGTTCTTGGCAATGGTTTCCCTCAGAGGTACACAATTCAGAAAAAGATCCTGTGTTTGAGTTACTTCATCCAGGATAACCTTGCTGTCGTTATATGGTTCTGGAAAAAAACTGCAAATGGCTTTCCGATATGATTCCTTCTTTTCTAAAGAGGCATGATAACATACCCCGATAGCCTGAACCAGAGACCAGAGGACAGGACTTCTCTTGAATTTATTTTTTATGACACTTGACTTACAGAGGAAGGATTCCAGTTTTGACAAGAGCATTTCACTGTGGTCATGGAACCATTTGAAAACTTCCACACAGCGTTCCACATCCCGAAGGCTGACAAAACTGCACTCATTTTCTCTTTTCCTCATGAAACCCTGAGAGGCAGAAAGCACTTCTGTGATCAGACAAATCTCATTTTGCTCTATCTTGATGGAGTCAACTAGTCTCTGGACAATTTGCTGAACATAGAGCTTTTCAGCAACATCATTCAGTTGTCCAAAGTCCCACACCAGAGGAATCATGCTTGGAGGAAGAGCATGGACTCGATAAACCAACTGCCTGAGAGGAATGGAGCCAAGCTTCTCTGCCGTCTCCTCTGCGCTAACTCTGTACCCTAGCCCAGCTGACTCCAAACGGCAGATCATCTCCTGGGAGTGCCTCCGGTAAGGGTTGCAGGCTGCAATGATGTGCAAACCAGAGTTCTCAACCAGGGGCTCGCCATTCACTGTGTGGTCACACAGAACTTCTTTGATACAGCTGATGGCTTCTGTTGTGTTGGCTTCATCAAAGAACAAGATGGTGTCAAGCTGATGATGGCTCTTATTGAAGATAGCAATGTTTTCAGCCTCCCTGACTTTGGAGTAGATCATGTCTGCAGTCGTTCCTCCGTGGACCTTGACCAATTTCATAGTTTCAGCATCAACACCCCCACGCCGCAGGTCGCTAAGGAATTTAATGAGCCTGGTTTTCCCACAGCCAGTTTCTCCCATGATGACAACGGGGATCCCACACCGAAACCGCATCTCAATAGCAAGGATCTTCAGCATATTGTCTGTTGTGAGCTCATAGGTTTCATCAGGGTCAATGGCCCACTGGATTCCTAATGCCAGGCAGAGTCTTTCAAGTTTCTCATGTCTGGGCAGTTGATCAAAGTCAACATTGAAGGGCACCCTCTGAAGCAACAGCCCCCTGTACAGTTCCATCATCATGACATCTTTCTTGATTACCTTCCCATGCAAGTGACTGATGGCATCAACGCCACCATTCTTGTTGGGCTGGAAATGGAAGCCAATGAATGTCATGGATATGTGGTCACCATTGAAGAAAACATATGGATGGGGCTCTGACTCCCACCTCTTCCGCAGAGTGAAAGGAGCTAGATCTTCTTCCTTGACCCCATCCATGGTAACCATATGCTTCCCTGGGCTTTGGTCCGAGGTGTTCAGAGTTGGTGTGGCAAAATCTCTTGCCATAAAGATCATGAAGGTAACCACAAAGTTCTTGAAGCCCCTCAGTGTGTCTCCAATGAAATTAGGATCACAGAAGACAGAGGCCTCACAATCTTTGAGCTGATAATTCAGGAACCGAGCAAAGTTTTGAAGCTCTGACCAGGATGGGTTTATCACCCCACAGTAAAACAAGAAATGCTGGAGGCATTCCTCCGGTGTGCCTTCGATAAAGCCTTCTTGGTACTGAAACGTGTCTAGGTTTTGTTTTTGATGGAATCGTTTTAAATACTGGTAGGGTCTTTGGAAGGTTTCACTGCAGAACTCTGTGTGATCCATTCCTGGCTCTCTGTGGCTAGATTCAGGGTTCAGCCCCATGTCTATCACCTCTTTCGGAGGCCTGCATGTGACTTTTGGGAAGATGTCCAGAAAAGCGAACTGTGGGGCATGGGTAACCTGGAGAGGAGAGACATGAAATAAATAGTTATGACTAAATTACCTTTTAAAAAATACTTCTGTCTTTTAACAAAGTCTATGTTGGATGGGCTTTTACAAAAAAAATTACACTTAAAAGTACAAAGCTTTCTGTAGACTCCCTTTTACATAGGTTGTTATCGCATACACATTAAGGCATCGGGGAAATTGTATTGTGGGAGGTACAGTCATTATCTTTTTTGTTTTTTATTGTTGTAATTAAATGAAGTTTACATTTCAAGTTAGTCTCCCATACAAAATTTTGTTTTTTTTACATACATTGTTACGAGACCCCAACTGCTCACCCCATTCTGTGACAGCACACTCCTTGCCTCCGCCCCTGATTTCCCATGAACATTCAACCAGCTCCTAACTCTCTCTGCCTTCACGTCTTACCTCTGGACAGAAGCTGCCCCTTTGTTCTCTTGTATCTACTTGACTAAGAGGCACATTCTTCACGAGTATCACTTTATGTCCCACAGTCCAGTCCAATCCCTGTCTGAAGAGTTGGCCTTGGAAATTGTTTTAGTTCTAGGCTGATAGAGAGTCCAGGGGGCATGCTTTCCGGGGCTACAGTCTTTATCTTAAAAATTATTTTAGGAAATTATTTTACAACCCAGCTTCCTGATATTAAATTTCTCCATTAAGCAAGCATATATGTATGTGTGTGTGTGTGTCTCTTCTGTTAAAAATTCGTAAGATGAAAGTCTCCTTCACATCTCAGCTGGCATTAAGAAAGATGGCACTTCTTTTAGGGGATAAATTTACTGATTTCAAAGCACAGCTGGAATTTAACCTGGACATAGAGCTTGAGTCATGGATCAAACAAACAAAAAGAAAATTACGACACTGCTACTTAATAGAAGAATATTTTTATTTATTCCAGAAATAACTAAACAGTAAGTTTCATGACTGAGTTTTGTTTACTAACACTGCACTTGGCTACTGTCATGGATTGAATTGTGTCCCCCAAAAATATCTGTCGATTTGGCTAGGTCATGATTCCCAGTATTGTATGATTGTCTACCTTTTGTCATCTAATATGATTTCCCTATGTGTTGTGAATGCTATCACTGTGATATAATAAGATGGATTAGCAGCAGTTGTATTGATAAGGTCTACAAGATTAGATAGTGTCTTAAGCCAATCTTGTTTGAGATATAAAAGAGAGAAGTGGGCAGAGACATGGGGGCCTCATACCACCAAGAAAGCAGTGGCAGGAGCAGAGCGCATCCTTTGGACCCGGGGTCCCCATGCGGAGAAGCTTCTAGTCCAAGGGAACATTGATGAGAAGGCCAACAGAGAGAGAAAGCCTTCCCCTGGAGCTGACACCCTGAATTTGGACTTCTAGCCTACTTTATTGTAAGGGAATAAACTTCTCTTTGTTAAAGCCATCCATTTGTGGTATTTCTGTTATAGCAGCATTAGATAACTAAGACAGCTACTTTACTACAAAACGAGAGGAATCACAAAAACTTACTACTCCACACCATGGAAATGAAAAAGACCTGAAGGAATGAAAAATCTCTCCACAATTAAATGAATAATCTCTTCAATACATACCAGTTTTGAAGACCTCTTTGGCAGCACTGAATTCCCTTCTAGGATTTCAATGATGTATAAATGGCGCTGATTCCGAAGCCACATTTTCCCGTTTACATCCATTAAGTATTGTAAAACTAGGAGTTTGAAAAGAAATCCCCAAATTCCAGACTGTACCTAAAGACAGAATCACATGGGTTTTAAAATACTTACACAAACTGAAGACCAGTCCTCCCAACCCTTAGGATCCTCTTATTTTATTTTCTGGCAGAATGACACTGAACTTTGATACAGGTAAAAAGGAGAAATTCTGTAGACTTAGGAGGAAGCAGTTAGGGATGTGGGGCTATGTCTTCCCTGACTGGGCCCCTCAGTTGAAACCCCAGGCACTTACTGAGGAGGTCACGTCAAAGTGGAAAATCGTGGGGCGTTTCTGGTGCTGTGCATCCAGGAAAGGCAAGAGGGTGCCCAGGACCTGACTTTCATCCACCTGGGGGTCCATCAGTCGGATGACCTTGAGAGGCACTTTTGTCCCAGTGAACTTCATCTTCAATTTGCTGTGCAGTCTCTTCACATAGAGAGATTTCCCTGTAATGGTGACACATGGAAATTAGGGCCCATGGCTGTGGACAAAGAGTAAGAGAATCCAGATGATTCATTAACGGTTACTTGTCTTTGTGTAAACTTGAAGATGACATATACAACATGCATAAAACAGAGGCACCATAACCGCAGATGAAAGGATACATTTCAAACCCTCAAATTTCCCAGCCATTACCTACTCACTGTCCTTGCTGTTTCCCCGGTACTAATGACAGCAATCTAAGTAAACTAACAGCAAAAATATGCGGGGGAGGGGTTGCAGTATTTGCCCCAATAGAATGCAGTATTGTTGTTGAGATAAAGTCAATAGTAACGGAAATGATTACTTCTTTCCAAATCTTTGTGGTGTTCCCAGTGTAACCTCGCCTAGAAAGCAGAGTGTGTGGTTAGGGGGACCTGACAGTGACTGAGGGCGGGCAGAGAGCCTCAGTTCCTTCTCAAGGAAGAGCCATAATACCTCCTCTGCTCTCACGACCATCAACCCCAAAGCGGGCAATGGAGGGTTTTATTTTTTTAAAAACAAGAAGTTAACTGTAGGGAAGCTTGCCTAGAAGGGCAAGGTTGGGGACTCCCAGGAATTGGCCAATACTACGAACCAGGTGAAAAAGGGTACCCGGTTCCAGCGAGCCCTGATTGACAACTTCAGATGCATCAAAACCTCCCTGAGACTCAGTTTCCCCACTGTTGGACCAGGGAAGGTGTTCAGGTGGTCCCTGGGAGAAGCAGGGTCCAGAAATCTCAGCCGCAATCTTACCAACACCGGCTCTCTGCGACGCCACGACCCCAACACACATCCGGTCCTGGAACACAGCAGCTGCTGACAGGGTCTGCTGTGGGACCTGGAAGTGTCTCGCCAGGTAGGTCTGGATGGTCTCAAGTGATGCCTGTGGGGTGACGAGGACTTTGTACTGGCTGAAGGCCGAGGGGAGGTAGCAGTGCTCCCGGTCACAGTCGCAGACCAGGACGAGCTGGTAGTCCTCACGGTGGCGCTGCAGGCACAGACTCTGGAAGAGCTCCTCGGCCCGAGAGCCCACCTCGTAGCTCAGCTGGTCTGCATACAGCAGGCTGTAGACCTTGTGCCCCCGGGAGCCCAGGGTGAGGCAGCGGCGCAGGAACAGCGCCACCTCCTCAAACGTGGTGCCTGGGGTACAGAGCAGCACTTCGTCATAGGTGGGCAGGGGCTGGCTTGGGGCCTCCATGTAGATGGCCAGGGCAGCCAGCAGCACCTCCGAGTGGCCACACACGACCAGATTGGGCTGGCCAACCTGCAGGCCTCTGGGCAGATGCCGCTCCACAGGGGTCCCGCTCATTGTGGACAGGTGAGCCAGACAGTGGCCAAGGGCATCCAAGTCCAAGCAGTGAGGCAGGAAGGTGCTCATGCACTCCATCGACTGTTCCATGATGACCCTCAGCTTGTCTACCAGGATGAACTCCGAGAAGCACATCAGCGATAATTCTGCCATCCCTGTCTTCACACAGTGTCTGCTGGCTGCTCCATCAGTCCTGCTGGAGGCCTCGGAGACATCACTCGGGGTGCAGTTGCCTTTGATAAAGGACAGCATCATCAGAGCTGCCTCACTGGGGCTCGGCTTCTTGAGCTCCATGCTCAGGTAGACCAGCTGCTCAGCCGTGTAGAAGTTGAGGTAGAAGTGTTCAGCTCGCTTCTTTGCCACAAATCTCTTCCAGTGGTCTAGGAAGTGCTCCATCTGCCTGCAGAGGGCTTCCAGCAGCCTGGCCACCTTCCCGCTCCCAGCGAGCTGGCCCACCAGCTCCAAGTTGAAGTCCATGTGGATGGAAATGCCCCTCCTGGGGGAGCAGTACACCTCTGCGGTCCAGGTCCTGAATAGCATGTTCCCAGCTGAGTAAAGGTTTATAAAGGACTGGACAAGCCTCTGCACATTGCCAAACACCTGTGGAAAATGGAACCATGAAGTGGACGTTACAGAGCTGTACTAGAGAGGCAACAGAGTGTAGAACAATAAAAACGGGTTATAATTTGAAGGACTTGGGTTCACTGCTTTCCAGCTTTCCACCAGTTCACTGTGTGTCCTCGAGCAAATGATGTTGTACCTACTGTCAAGTTGGCCCTCAGCACATGGTGACCCCATTCACAACAGAATGAAATGCTACCCTGTCCTGCGCCATCCCCGTGATTGGTTGCAGATCAGACTGTTGTGATTCATAGGCTTTCATTTGCTGATTTTTGGAAGTAGATCACTAGGCCTTTTTTCCTAATCAGTCTTAGTTAGGAAGCACCACTGAAACCTGTTCAGTTTCACAGCAACACGCAAGCCTCCACTGACAGACAGGTTGAAGGGGAAAATAGGCTTTGCGAGGCTGGGCATAGCTGCCCTCATGCTTTCCATTAGTTCACTGCTGTTTCTGTTGGTTCACTGCTGTTTTCCAAGCTTCTGTTATGTGACCTTGCTGAGGCAATCTTATGTAACCCTCTGGCATGGAGCCACCTTTGTCCTTGACCACTATAAAACCTTCATTCCCCCCCACCGCCCCCGCTGGGTGTGGAGATCTGCTTTGGTCCTCCTGCCGCCGGGGACCACTACCTGGGTATGTAAATCTCCCTAATAATAAAGACTCCTTCACTGCCACACTGGAGTTGCCCACCTCTTTCTTTAGTCTCTCAGCACCCTCCAGTTTTGGAGGCAAATTTCAAGTTACTAGTCCTGGACACGGGTGGTGGCTACACGTGAGGTGCACTGGCTGGGAACTGAACCTGAGTCTCCCTCATAGAGGCAATAAGTCTTCCACTGAACCAACAGTGTCCCCTCCGAGCAAATGATATTTATCACAAAATGCCTTCCTGTCTCATTCATAAATGGCCTAATAGGAGGGCTCTCTTCTTTAGCAGGCAATAAGTCATAAAGATCAAGGATACATGTGTACAGTACAAATGAACTTTACAGAATAAATTTAAGAGACGATTAAACTGACATGCCTTCATCAATACAGTTAGTTACTTTTGATTTTGATGAAAGATGCCTAAGTAAGTCTATAAGTATTTTTGAATTCTTGGCAATTTACAGAGTGGGTGAAGCAATTTAAGAGTCTTTCTAAGAACTATCCATTGGGTTATCTCTTCTCCAGTGCAGTGGATTACCTGACAGTTCATCCTATGGACCATAACGAGGACCGTGAATCTAAGGGCCTGTCATGCTTGGACTTCTCTCCTTGGGCCATGAACTTGGGTGACATGCATTCTGCAAACTCACTAGCTCTGTTCTCCAAGGGTTTCTTATCAATGAAATCCAAACTCATGCCATTTTGAGTTTCTCCAGCAACTCAGTAGAGGGCGGACTCGGCCCAAACAGATGAGACTCTGGCGCCCTGCTTGGCTGCGACATACTCATGAGCACTCACCTCAGAAAACACCTCCACTTCCACGTTGTTCTGCTCTTTCTTGCCAGACATCAACATCAGCTTGTTCAGAAGCTCTCTCAGCTCTTCTAAAGAGTACGCTCGTATTTCTCCACTGTCACTGTGACTCTCGGGAAGGACCAAGCGTAGGACCGAGTCCGGGGAGATCTGCGGCGTATCACAAGGGGCGCAGTCAGTTTTCTGGCAGCAGAGGCCCCAACATGTGCAGCAGCCCGAGTGCGCCCTCTAAAGCCCCACCTGGGACCCAAGGTCACTCACCTTCTGGCCATCTTTGGGTGCCTCGATGAAATAGGTGCCTTTGCTGTTGATGGCTGTTGCCAGGGACAGGGATGAGAGCTCTACAGACCCGTGACTTTCCTTCACTGTTTTTAGCCATTCCAGGTTCCTGGCAGAATCACACTGTTGGGACAGAAGTCGAGAAAATGGGCCATGGGTCAGGTGATCATGGTCTTTCTCTGCTCCCAGCAGTACTTGTCCCTCCTCTGCCTTCCTGGGAAGACCTCCTCCCCTGCCCCCACACCCCCGCCCCGGTCTCAGCTCTGTAGTCTCCTCTCAGGGGAGTCTTCCTCGCCTCATGCCCACGTCTGGATTGGGGCCCGCTCCATGTGCTTGTGCTCACTGTTCTCAGGACACCTGTCCCTTGGTATTGCCATTTCTGTAAGAGGCTGTTGATCCGAGTCTCCACCACTGCCTGGGGCCCTGGAGGGCACTCAGCCTTGTATTTATGGACGTGGATGAGGGTGGACAGGCACAAAGCCTGCTCTCCTTGGAAAGGCCACTAGTCTGCTGGGCCCTCATTGCAAAGAAACTTCCAGGGAGTGCTTCTGGAATCAGGGCTATGGGGCCTCAAGTTCAAAATGTCCTTTTGTGGATGCTGAGTACCACCGAAGAATTAAGGAAAAACAGAAGCTTTTGTCTGGACTTGAGCTTCTAGCAGAGACAATGCAAACAGCCCATCTGCTCATTCCATTTCTCTTTTCCTCCCTCACCCCACGCACTGAACCAGCTGTCCTGAGGCTGCTCCAGGTTCCTGGGCAGTATCTGCTCATTGGGGAGGTTCCACAGTACATGTAGTATACATAGTACACGGGGTACACATAGTATACTAATACACGTCTATGAGGGCCCCGGTGCAGATAGCTTACTTAAATATAAATGTTTTTCTAATAAAAAATTAATATACTAATTATAGAAGGTATGGAAAATACCAGAAAGTATAGAGAATAAAATAACAATTACTGCTATTCAGGGAGACATTTTAGCATACCTCCCTTCAGTCTTCCTGTACGTTTTGTATAGTAGTGATTACAGTTGTTTACATGCAATTTGGAATCTTGCTTTTTAACATAAGAGAGAGAAGGCACCTACATTGATAAATAGCTGCTTTTGAACATCCTTGTAAACAGCTGCATGAAGACCTACCACACACGTTTTGTATAATTTGCACCATCTTCCCCTGGTGTTGTAAGCCATGCTTTATTACACTTACGCTACTCGGTGCCAGAAACAAGGCTTACCAGTTTCTTGGGCAGGTGCGGGTCATTTTCCAGAGCCTTCCACAGTTCTGTCAGGTGGTCCATGAACTCATCAAAGCCTGCCGTTGTGCCGAGCTTGTACAACAGAGAAGCATAGCCCTGCACAGCATCATGGAAGCAGGCCGCACGGTCCACGTCTATGTCGTTCTCGCCAGCCGAGATGGAGGCCAGGTCCACAAACACCTTCAGCTCGTTGATGTCTTGGGAAGAGAAGAGACGAGGTCAGCACTTTGAGACTCCACCTTTGACAACATCCTTACAGAAGTTTTAAATGGACATTGAATGGATACTAGGGTGTATCCACTGTCTGCTTTCAATAAGAGCCTGGGGCCCCTTTTCTTTTGCAGTATTCGCTAATACCACGAACCAGCAGCTAACCTTTACTGAACAAAAACAAGGTCCCAGGCACTGTACTAGGCTTCCGCATACCCTATTCCATTTGATCCACACAACATCCCCATTTAATACAAAAAGAAACTGAGGCTTAGAGAGTAAATAGTATGCTGACGGTTATCTATAAAAGAATGAGGTACATTCTCTTTGGGCTAATTGCTAATGAAAGGATGCGAATCAAAGTGGACAGAGTCCATGGTAGAAAACAGAGGCTCCCAGTGGGAGATGGAGCCTGCTGGCCTCTGCACCCTCAGGGGTAGCACTCCTGACCTCTCCCTGCGCACCAGTGCGGCCTGCCCCTCTCCCTTACTGTCCTCCTCCCCTCTAGGAGTAAATTCTGTCAAAGGCACCTAAGCCACAGAGGTGCAAAGGCTGCCAAGCCCTTGGCTGGAAAAGACATGCACAGTATCACCAAAGATGCTATCATAAAATCTCTCAGTGGACAAGAGCTTGCCTGTCCTCTAGTGAAACATCAACTGGAGGAAAAGCTAAAGGAGGCAGGATTTTTAAGGAATCGTTCCCAGCTGTTCACAGCAAGCATCCACAGAGTGGGGGAAAAAGTGGCAAAAGAAATCATTTCTGCGCCAGACATGAGAACTATTATTGTGATGGAAATTCCACCACCAAGCAATGAACTACACACTGCACTTGTGCCTGGAGAATGTAGATGACAGGCTTTGCCCTTGACTCAGTGTCATCAAGGGGAGGTGTTTCCTGCAGGTCTCAGAAAACCACCCAGTGAACCATCTGGAGCTCTCCCCAGACTCCTGGCCACCTCTTGACATTTTTTTTTACCTCTAAGGGTCTCCCGGACCCAGCTAATGAACTCCTTCCTCAGGGACAGCTCCTCCAGACACCGGCACCGCGTGTCACTGATGTCCTGGAGCAGCTTCTTGGCACGGATAAGCCGCTGGCTGATGCAGGTCAGCTTTTCATGGCGAAAGTGGTCAAAGTCCTCAGTCTGCAAGACAAGGCTTTGCTGTGGACCTGCAACAGCTACCTGGGATCCCCAGATCTGAGAGCAGCAACATGGCCACCTGTAAGGCTACCTCCCTCCCAAACTTCCTGTATATGCAGCTGCTACAGCAACAGGCAAACAAAAGGAAGAAGCTCTTATCCTTGAATTGGACAAGGGTTAAAAAACGAGTTACTATTGAGTCAACCCCATGTGTATCAGAGTCGAACTGTGCTCCATGAAGTTTTTAACGGCTGATTTTTCAGAAGCAGATTGCTAGGCCTTTTTTCCGAAATGCCTCCGGGTGGTCTCCAACGTTCAGCCTTTCAGATAGTAGTTGAGCGCATCAACGGGTTGTACCACCTAGGGTCTCCAGCAGGGGTTAACCAAAACAAACAAACCGGAAAGAAAAACCAAGCCTGCTGCCACCGAGTCGATTCCAACTTATAGCAACCCTGTAGGACAGAGTAGAACTCCCCCATAGGGTTTCCAAGGAGCGGCTGGTGGATTCGAACTGCCGACCTTTTGGTTAGCGGCCGAGCTCTTAACCACTGTACCACCAGGGCTCCCCAGACAAGGGTTAGGACTTATAAAATAAAACCTTCATTGCCTCCCTTCTATCCATAACATCTCATCCTCTGCACCCAACACTCTAGTAAGCATTTTGCTTGGATTTTAGAAATCTAATCCTCACAGTAACCCTGCCAGGTACACATTGTGAATTCTTCCTGTTGTTTAGGTAAAGACACTAAGACTCCGAGCTGTGACTTATTTGGGAACATGCTGGTGGGACTCAGGTGTAAGTGTGTGTAATTCCAAATTTTGTGCTTTCGATCGTTATCATACCCATCTCTGCTATACTATGTTGTTGTTTTTGGGTGCTGTCGAGTGGATTCCAACTCATAGTGACCCTACAGGACAGAGTAGAACTGCCCCGTAGGGTTTCCAAGGCTGTAATCTGTACAGGAGCAGATCACCAGGTCTGTTCTCCCACAGAGCTGCTGATGGGTTCAAACCGCCAGCGTTTCGGTTAGCAGCTGAGTGTTTAACCATTGTGCCACCAGGACTCCTTATGCTATAATATAGGTCACAGTATACCTTATAAAACAAAAAGCAAAAGATTTGCTTTTTAATTCTAACAGAAAAAAAAATTACCATTTTCCTCCTTCTGGCTAGAACTAGGAGATATTATTGGACAGCCAACAAAATTAATTCATTTTTTTGTTCTAACCTAAGGAAACCAAATTACTCTTTACAAATATCTTACTACTAAAAGAGGGTCATCACCCCCTTCCTAAATTCTTGGTCCTCATACCAAACCAAGCACACTCTCACCAGCTTAGGTACAGTCACACTATAAACAAAGGTGAAAACAAAGCCCTTGGCATATCTGGGCACAAAGAACAATCCAAACAATAACCCTTGAATGAAGCTGCTGACTCATCATGTCTAGCTTTTAAAGGCCAGAAAGCCCACGGGCCCCCAGGACTCTGAGGAAGTATCCCTTCCAGGAGTCGCTACAAAAAACTTACAAAGCTTGATAAAGTGTGAAGAACACTGAAGTCACCAGTCAGGCCCAAATTTTCTTTGACTTTCAAGATAACCTTGGCTGAGTGAGCAGCCTGATACAGGTGATGGTATTCCTTGATCTGATCAATGCGCTCCCGGATCCAGTCCTTTCGGTCACTCCTATCCACAGTGCACATGACCTGGAGTTCCGATGTCAGGTCGCTGTATCTATTGACAAAGTCTTTTAAGGTGGCATCGACTTCTGCAAAGGTGACCTCTCCTGACCTCAGATCCTGATACAGTTTAGTGAACCTTTTGTAACAAGGATGATACAAATCATCATATGCATCCTCAAGGTGGAATATTTGCTCTTCTGATTCCTCTTCAGGCTCCTTCAGCGACTCTGCGGCTTCTTCCCAGAACGTCTGGAAGACGTGGCTGTCCCTTAGCAAGTCTACCATTTCCGCCATCTCCCGGACATGCGGGCTCAGGTTGTAGTGTGTTGTGAGCACCACTTCTGAGCAGGTGGGCAGTCTCACCGTCACAGCTTCATTTAATCTCTTACTGCCGAGGTCTTCCCAGTGTTTGTGTTCAATCTCTCCAAAATCCACTTGTAAAACCATAAGAAAATGCCAGAAGTCAAACTTCTAATCACCATATTATATTATTTTTCTTTCCTAGTATTTACTTTCCTCACTTCTCTAAGAAAACTGACATGAATACAGTTGCTAGCCTTTCTTTCTCAACAGAAATTCATAGATCTTGCCCTTGCCCCTTGCACTTATCAAGTTTTATGATAAAGAGAAGCTTTGTAACCTGGGGAAAGAGGACAGTGTGAAAACAAGCATCCACTGTCATTCCCTCCGCAAATCCCACTACAGACAGAACGTTTGTCAAAAGTCAGAAGCCCATAGAATGGGAGGATAGAAAAAGAGGTAATAGCAACAAAATGTTGGATGTTGAAAAGCAGATGCACCAGTGGGAAAGAACTTACTAGGCCTGAGAACATGGAATCCTGAGCTCATCAAGGGAAAGCAGAGAACCAACCAGACTTACATCACTGAATTCCCTAAAAGCACAGAAAATGGTTGCATGGGTAACTGGAAATTGGAAAGTGGTGATAAAGTAAGGAAGACTGGGTTAAAAATCTGAATAAGTGCTCAAATATGTGGATTTGCACTCTCACACCCATTCTATATAGCACATTAATTTTCCTTCCTCCACCCTGGCAAAATATAGGTGGTTTATTTTCTAGAGAGGATAAAACAAAGGGTTTTCTGGATTGGAGGTCACAGATACATGGCAGAGTAAAGTCATTTTCAGGAATATACCCTTTCTCAGGAAGTTAATAGAACCTAATAGAAGGTATATACTACTAAATTTGAATAAGAAAGGAAAACTTAAGATACAGGAAACAGAAGGAGAGAAGGAGTACTAAAACCGGGGGACTAAATGAGTATATGTGTATTGGATCCTGAAGACCCTCCAGCCCTTTTCTCCCTGTTGGCTCCCAGAAATCTAGCAGCCAGGCCTATACCCTCCAGGCAGGAGATTGGAAGTGTTTTTTGGGAATCTGACCAGCCCCAGAGAAAAGACCAAAAGATACAGACCAATTAAAAGCCCAGACACATTACCCGATAGGGTAGAAAACAGCCGAAAAACCCAACCCCCATACTCAGTTTTCAAGCAGTTTTTTAGGCCCATCTCTTAATATAACTAAATGAGAATTTCTAGACAGATGAGGAAAGTCATTAACATGAAAAGGTGCTATCAAAACAAACTAACATATAAAAGGAACGTAGAGAAAACAGGAAATTATTCAAGGAAAAGAAAGCCTCTAAACTAAACACATCGTTAATAATCTCAGAAAGATACTGCAACCATGAACAGGAACAGAATAGCATAAAAAAAGTACCACTCAGGAAAAAAATGCTACTATAAATTAAATATATATGAGAGTTCAAAATGCTAAACTCAGTAGAAAGGTTGGCTGATCCAGTTGAGGAAATCTCTCAGAAAGCAGAGGAAAAAACAAAGAGGTGGAAAATAGGAAAGAAAAATTATGAAAATTAAATGATCATTCAAGGAGGTCCAGTATCTAGTTAATATCCAGTTAATACTACAGCAAGAAGAAAAGAGAGAAAATAATCACTGAAGTAATTCAAGAGAACTTCCCAGAACTTAAGGACTTGAATTCCTAGATTGGAAAGACCCACCTAATGCCCAGGACAGTGGATGGAAAATAGATCCATTCCATGGCACATCATTATGAAATTTCGGAATACTAGGAACAAAAAAGATCTCAAGAGCCTCTAAAGAAAAAATCTTTGACATACAAATGGTCAGTAATTAGCATTGCATCTGACTTCTCAAAGCAGCTGTGGATATATAATGGAACAACACATTTAAAATTCTGAAGGAAAATTATTTCTAATCTGTAATTTTATAGGTATAATTATATACCTAGACAAACTATCAACCTGGTATGAGAGTTGACATCTTCAGACACACAGGGAATCAAGAATTTAACCTCCTATTTAACCCCTTTCTCGGGAAGGTAATAGAGCATATGTTGTACTACAACACAGGAGTAAGAGGATGTCAAGGGAGACAAGAAATAGAACTACCCCAGGACAGAGGACAGGGGATCCCTGGGTGGTGAAGGGAGAAGCTAGGATGGCAGTCCAGTCAGTTATGGTAGATTCCTTCTGAAAGATCTAACTGGTTGCCTTGAGAGGAAATTCAGCCTCTAAAGAGTCTGTTTGGGGATTGAATTAGAAATAAAGACATAGAAAACAAAGCATATGTAGAAAGACAAGATTTATAATTCTGAAGAAAACAAAGTTTGTGCAAGAAAGGTAAACTAATCATGGTCTACCTCATGGGTCCGACGTGAACACTATATTTTCACAGTTGTGATCATTTAAACCCTAAATAGTGATCTAACTAAAATTATGATGTAACTGGGTGTCAAGGGGGATGGAAAGGTTTTGTGTATAGGACACAGATTGGAAAAATAAAGAGATCGAAATCCTCATCTTACACAATAGGTACTGATTAAACCTGAAGAATCAAGGAGATAGTCAAGCATGTTATTCAGAGACATGGAGGGATATACCAAAAAGAACTGCTGAAAAGAAGCAAAATTTATCCCCCCTAGAAAGGATGAAATGTATATATAAATTTATTAAAAATTAAAACTTTTTTTAAAGACAACCTACAGACTGGGAAAAATATTCTGGCTACAACAAATCCGATCAGGGTCTAATCTCTAAACAACAAGATACTGCAAAACCTCAACAACAAAAAGACAAATAACTCAAAAAATTGGCAAAGGATATGAACAGGCACTTCACCAAAGAAGACATTCAGGCGGCTAACAGACACATGAGGAAATGCTCACGATCGTTAGCCATTAGAGAACTGCAAATCAACACTACAATGAGATACCATCTCACCCCAGCAAGGCTAGCGTTAATTAATCCAAAAAACACAAAATAATAAATGTTGGAGAGGTTGTGGAGAGACTGGAACACTTACACACTGTTGGTGGGAATGTAAAATGGTACAACCATTTTGGAAATTGATTTGATGCTTCCTTAAAAAGCTAGAAATAGAAGTACCATACGATCCATCAATCCCACTCCTTGGAATATATCCTAGAGAAATAAGAGCCGTCACATGAATAGATGTATGCACACCCATGTTCATTGCAGCACTGTTCACAATACCAAAAAGGAGGAAACAACCTAGGTGCCCATCAACGGATGAATGGATAAACAAATTATGGTATATTCACACAATGGAATACTACACGATGATAAAGAACAATGATGAATCCATGAAACATCTCAACATGGAGGAATCTGGAAGGCATTATGCTGAGTGAAATTAGTTGCAAAAGGACAAATATTGTATAAGACTACTATTATAAGAACTCAAGAAAAGGTTTAAACACAGAAGAAAACATTCTTTGATGGTTACGAGGGTGGGGAGGGAGGGAGAAGGGTATTCACTAACTAGATAGTAGACAAGAATTATCTTAGGTGAAGGGAAAGACAATACACACTACAGGGGAAGTCAGCACAACTGGAGTAAACCTGAGTACAATCAAACACTTTGAGGAACAGAGTAGCAGGGCAGGGGTCTGGGGACCGTGGTTTCAGAGGACATCTAGGTCAACTGGCATAACAAAGTTTATTAAGAAAAAGTTCTGCTTCTCACTTTGGTGAGTGGCATCTGGGGTCTTAAAAGCTACCAAGTGGCCATCTAAGATGCATCACCTGGTCCTAGCCTACCTGGAGCGAAGGAGAATGAAGAACACCAAAGACACAGGGGAAATACTAACCCAAGAGACAGGAAGGGCCACATGAACCAGAGACTTCATCAGCCCAAGACCAGAAGAGCTAGATAGTGCCTGGCTACCACCAATGACCACCTGCCAGGGAGCACAACAGAGAGTCCCTGATGGAGTAGGAGAAAAGTGGGGTGCAGGACTCAAATTCTAGTAAAAAGACCAGACTTAATGGTTTGACTGAGACGGGAGGAGCCCCGGAAGACAGGGCCCCCAGACTCTCTGTTAGCCCAGAACTGAAACCATCTCAAAACCAACTCTTAGACAAAGATTAGACTGGACTATAAGACATAAAATGATACTTGTGAAGAGTATGCTTCTTAGCTCAAGTAGATACTTGAGTCTAAATGGGTAGCTCCTGTAGCCGGAGGTGAGATGAGAAGGCAGAAAAGGACTGGAACTGGTTGAATGGACATGGGAAATCCGGGGTGGAAAGGGGGAGTGTGCTGTCACAGTATAGGGAGAGCAACTAGGGTCACATAACAATGTGTATATAAATTTTTGTATGATAAACTAACTTGAATTGTAAACTTTCACTTAAAGCACAATAAAGAAAAATTAAAACTTTTTTTTTTAAAAAAGCTTCCCCTCCAAAATAAAGCAGTGCTATCACCATCAATTTTACCGCATTCTCCTGTAACCCTTCTCCCCTCAAGACCCCTCAATTTTGTTTATTTCCGTTCTTAAAGTACTACCTTTTACCAGGTGTTTCACCTTCTCACACAATTTTAAGAGATTATCAATATATCTTTTCTCTTTCTTCAGAAACAGTAGTTCATTCATTCTCCAGTCCAGCACAGCCTTCACATCATGTTCTTTCTCCTGGGGTGAAAGGGATTCACTCTCTGGAAAAACAAGAAACAAAGAGGTAACCCCATAAATCAGGCAGACATATCCTTTTCCCTGGCCACCTGTTTCATCCATCTGCCTCGCCCATGCTCTGTCTTCGCTGCTGCGAGGCAGAGTGACAAGGTAGGGCCACCTGCACAGCCACTCTGCCAACAAGGCCCTGCCACATGCCAGCCCCTCGGAATAAAAACAACTACGTACTCTGATTTTGGTAGTCTTTTATCACCTCTCCATCATGTTCCAGAGAATTATAAACTACTGTCAAGTTATTGGCAAGCAGAGCTGCTCATTCTGAAGATCACCCCATTACTAAAATGCACACACAAACACAGACATTCCTTATCGTTGTAACTCCTCAGGAGCCCGAAGTCCTTACCTCTGCATGGCACTTACTTAGTTGCCAGATGTCGAGAAACTGAGTCTTGTGCTTCACAATCAGCTCCAGTTGTCGAACTAAGACTGTTCCATTTAGGAGGTCACCAACCACTTTGGTGAACACAGAGTCAGCAGTGGCCATCAACTTCTTGCCATCCTCTGTAATATTTGCTAACATTTTCTCATCGGTTCCTGATCAGGGTTAAGAACACAGTTAAAACTGTGGCCTCCCACTTCCTGCCTCATTTGTTTGAAGCCTGTGAGTTGCCAATAACCTACTCTTTGTTCTGCTTCAACTTCCCTACAATACAAGCAGAAATCATTTATATTTTCAGATGTACGAATCACTTCTGAACCTCAAGCTTTCACCCTTGAGGTTCAAGTCTTATCCAAACTCATCTCCCAAAAGACTTCCTTAGTCATGACGATGATTCCCCCAAAAGCCGGGCGAACCACACTCTCAGGTTTTTAAAACCTGTGCTACCCCTTATTGCTATACTGGATATCTTTCTTAAAGTACACATGATCTCCTGTAACATCCCCCCATGTTGAGAATCTCTGCAGCGGAAGAATAAACTGCCCAGGGATGGGTTGGCGCCCAGCACGTGCTACCAGGATGGTCTAAGGAGGCATTTTCACAGCACGTGGAAACAGACAAACATTGATGTGAAGCTGCCGACCTGAGTGATGAAGATGACTTTACATTCTGCAGATCTTGGCTGTCTTGTAAAACTTGGAATGTGAATTGGGGATCAATTTAGAGGACAGAATTTTTAAAATATATATAGATAAACCACTGAAAGATTTCTTTCCAGTAATATTAGGGTTGTATGGTATTATGAAAGAGCCCTGGTTGCACAGTGTTTAAGTTCTTAGCTGCTAACCAGCTGCAGGAGAAAGATGTGGCAGTCTGCTTCCATAAAGATTACAGCCTTGGAAAGCCCATGGAGCAGTTCTAATCTGTCCTGTAGGGTCGCTATGAATCAGAATTGACTCAACGGCAACAGGTATTATGAGAAGACCAAGTTTATTTGTGCTGTTAAAAAATATATACAGCTTTATTCATAACTGTCAAAACTTGGAAGCAACCAAGATGTCCTTCAACAGGTGGATGGATAAACAAACTGATTTATCCATACAATTGAGTTTTATTCAGCAATAAAAATGAGCTATCAGGTCACGAAAAGACTCGAGGAACCTTAAATGCATACTGCTAAGTGACAAAACCATCCTCAAAAAGCAACATACTGTATGATTCCAACCACGTGACATTCTGGAAAAAGCAAAACTATACAGACAGTGAAAAGATCAGGGGTTGCCAGGATCAAGGGGAGGAGGGAGGGATGAATCGGTGGAGCACAGGATATTTTTACGGCAATGAAACTACTGTGTTTGGTATTGTAATGGTGGACACATGACATTACGCATTTGTGAAAAATCACTTGTTAGTTGCCGACGAGTCGATTCCAACTCATGGCGACCCCCCTCCTAGGACTGTACCACATGTAGAGGGAACCCCAATGAAACTGTGGACTCTAGTTAATACTAATGTATCGATGCTGGTTCATCAGTTGTAACAAATGTGCCACACGAATGCCAGATGTCAACAATAGGAAACTGTGTGTTGGAGGAGGGGGGTATATGGTAACTCTTTGTACTTACAGTACAGTTTTTCTCTAAATCTCAAAGTGCTCTAAAAAATAAAGTGTATTAATTAAAAAACCCACAAATATAATCTTTTTAGTTGAATAGCTTTTAGTAATTTACACGCCACTCCCACATCAATGGTCTTATTTTATCCCTACAACTACCTTGACATGTAGGGACATTAGTTATTTTTGTTTATCCCAGTAATTTTTTTTTCTTTTTTTATTGTTGTAGTTTAAGTGAAAATTTACAATTCAAGTTTGTCTCTCATACAAAAATTCATACATACATTGTTATGTGACCCTAGTTCCTCTCCCTATACTGTGACAGCACACTCCTCCTTTCCACCCCAGATTTCCCATGTCCATTTAACCAGCTCCTGACCCTCTCTGCCTTCTCATCTCACCTCCGGACGGAAGGTGCCCATTAGTCTCATGTATCTACCTGAGCTAAGAAGCACACTCTTCACAAGTATCATTTTATGTCCCATAGTCCAGTCTAATCTTTGTCTGAAGAGTTGGCTTCGGGAATGGTTTTAGTTCTGTATCCCAGTTATTTGATGAAACTGAGACTCAGGAACATTAAACCTGAGATTTCTGGTTTCGGATCATGTGCTTTCCCACTAAATCTGAGCATAACAACTTGTGTATAAACTTAAAGAAGACGTTTTTAGGGTAGTACATAGCTTCCCCTCTTTGATCACAAACACTTGGGGCTTGAGAGGGGTGTGGAAGAATTAAGCAGCACCCAATTGTTCTATTAGGTCATTGGCATTTGGGAGGACGTTCTACATTGATCTCAGAATAAGAGAGATTGGGTTTTGGAGCCAGACACACTAAGTTTGAATTTTTGCTCTTCATTCTTACGATGGCTGAGACCTTGGGGAAGTCCATTACATTCCCAGCTTCCCGATCCTCATCTGAAGAATGGGGATCTTAAGGAGGGCTTGCGAGACTCTTTTAAGTACATTGTTTGAACCCACCCAGCAGTATCTCCGAAGAAAAGGCCTGGTGATCTGCTTCTGTTAAGATCACAGCCAAGAAAACCCTCTGCAGCAGTCCTACTCTGTAACCCACGGGGTCCCCATGAGTGGTCATCGACTCACCGGCAGTTGACAACAGCAGCAACAAATGTCGGCACAGAAGCTGGCCTAGAGTAGGTATTCAGGAAGTGGTGGTTTTCAAGATTGGTTATTTACCATGCAAGACACCCTGAGCCTTCTGGATCCCTCGTCCAATCTGCTTCCTTTATCAAACATCCAGGGCTTTGAACTGGTTACTTCCGGTCTGACCCCTCCTGGGAAGTTGCCTTTCCACCCCAGGTATACCGAATCAGAATCTACATTTTAACAAGATCCTAACCTGGGGATCCTGTTAAAGTGTAGATTCTGATTCGGTATACCTGGGGTGGAAAGGCAAATTCTCAGCAGGGGTTCAAACCGGAAATAACCATTCAAAGCCCTGCAAACACCAGCCCATCCTCATATTCAAATGTTCTTCCTCTCCGCCCCTCCCCAAAGCCAGGGGACACCCACTTCCCAGCGCAGTCAGTCCTGCCCATCCTACACACCGTACAGTTTGAAGAGCTGCTTGACATCTGGCCCTGTGAGCAGGTGCTTTAAAACCTCATCCACGTTATCCACGGCTTCCCCGTCATTCATTGGCCAGGACTTGGTGATCACAGCAGACACGAGTTTGCCAAATTTCCGTAAATCGTAAGGAGAGAGACCATCAAGGATGCTGGTCTGAGACTATCAGAAAATTAACAGAGAGGGAAAGTTAGAAGTTTTTTACCGGCTGATTTTTAAATAGCACAGTTACCTACCCAAGGCTATTTCAGAAATCTATTGTAACGAGTTTTAAAAGGGCTCAAAAGAGCAAATTAGTAAAATACTTAACATTTCTTACACCCTTTCTGTATCCCTGTGTACTGGTTCTGTCTCCCTATAATTGACAGAACCATTTCCACTTTATAAATCTTCCTCCCTTAAATGCTGTGTACATCTTTTGGAATCTTTCAGTGCATATCTGCTACACAAGTGTTAGCAGACAATCAAACAAACAAGCAGTGATAGTTAACAGGCGTCTTTCAGGGGCTGCCTGCAAGTGTGCTTGATTCAAGGTTACACGGGAGTGGCTGTGATTTCATACATTTTACTTGGATCCACAGTCAACGCCCATGGAAGCAGCAGTCAAGAAACAACATATTGCATTGGGCAAATCTGCTGCAAAAGACCTCTTTCAAGTATTAAAAAGCAAAGATGTCACTTTGAGGGCTAAGGTGCACCTGACCCAAGCCATGGTATTTTCAGTTGCCTCATACGCATACGAAAGCTGGTCAGTGAATAAGGAAGACCAGAGAATTGACGCCTTTGAATTATGGTGTTGGCGAGGAATATTGAATACGCCGTGGACTGCCCGAAGAAGAAACAAATCTGTCTTGGAAGAAGTACAGCCAGAGTGCCCCTTAGAAGCAAGGAGATGAGACTTCATCTCACGTACTTTGGACATGTTATCAGGAAGGATCAGTCCCTGGAGAAGGACATCATGCTTAGTAAAGTAGAGGGTCAGCGAAAAAGAGGAAGACTCTCAACAGGATGGATTGCCACAGTGGCTGCAACAAGCGGCTCAAGCATGACGAGGATTGTGAGGATGAACACCAGGTGGTGTTTCATTCTGGTGTACACAGGGTCCTTGGGAGATGGAACTGACTCGACAGCACCAACAGCAACAACATAACGTCCGTGTGTTGTTGGCTGCTGTCAGGTTGGCTCCCCAACTCATGGCGGCCCCCTGCACAGCAGAATGAAATGCTGCCTGGTGCTGCGCCATCTCTATAATACGTTGTGGAGTGGACCACTGTGATCCATAAGGTTTTCACTGGCTGATTTTCAGAAGTAGATTGCCAGGCCTTTCTTCCTAGTCTGTCTTAGTCTGAAAGCTCGGCTGAAACCTGTTCAGCATCCTAGCAACACAAAAGCCTCCACTAACAGATGGGCAGTGGCTGCGCATGGGGTGCATTGGCCGGGAACTGAACCTGGGTCTCCCGCGTGGGAGTCGAGAATTCTACCACTGAACCACCACTGCCCTCATAATAGCCATCCAGTAGCATCCAACTGAGCGGCATCTCAAAGACTGGGTAGAGGGTACCAGGTTTCAGAACCATTCCACTAGGCCAGTGAGGGGGACGCCCCCTTCCCGCTCCCCCTTGTGCCAGCGCAGGTCTCAGGCCCCGCTGGCACTTGGCAGTCAGTCTTTAGCTGGTGGACGTAAGAATGCAGCTGCGGACCCTAACACATTTTCCAAGTCAGAGCGGCTGGTTACCTGGCAGGCCGAACTCACGGCTTCAATGACGCACTTCTCAAAGCTCTTAGCCACACTGTCGTCCAGGCCTGAGGCATCCCAGCCGGTGCTACAGTAGGCCGCGATCTGCAAGAGCGGCCTCTCCTGCAAGAGTGGAAATGCGATCTGTGGAGCCCTCCCGTGCTGTGCTCTAGTGCACGGGGGAATAGAAGGCCCTGGGTGTTTCTGCCTTCCTGCTGTTGTATCAGTCTCCCAGTATTTTAATCTTCTCCCTACCCCACACCGAGCATGTCCTCCCTGCCCCCACCATTACAAGGCTAAAATAAAGAGGCTTCACACTTGCAGAAAAAGCACGCGGCACAGCAGCTTACAAAAACAGCTAAACTTTGATAAATTAGTGACTTTTCTCTGCTTGTATTCTCCTAAAAAGAGCCTATTAATGGTTACATATAAAACTCTCATATCACGTAAAAACTAATTTTCCTAGAGTTACGGTCCTTAATTCAAAATGAAGAGCATTTCTGTGCTTTCCCTACTGGTCGGTGTGTTTAATAACACTTCTGTCACCAGCAGGCCACTTGGAGCTATGGCATATGGAGGGCTTTACCTCACTTATGCCTTAGGGTCCCTGTGGTGGCAAGATCCGAGATATCCTCCAGAATATCGCAACCAAACTTTGAAACGTTCACTGGGCTCAGACTACTGAGCCTGATCAGAAATGGAAATACAAACCTTGACTTAGTTCCTGCCCTGCACACAGTCAGGCTTTCCATTCAAGTGCAGCGCTCATGTTTACCTGTCGTTACTAGTGGACTGGTGTTATCAAACTTCCCTTTGCCCCCTGGAAGAGCGCCCCCAGACTGCTGGTACCTGTTTGAGTCTCCCTTCCAGGTCTCCCAGCAACGCCTCCTTCCAGCCATGTTCCACAGGAAAGTGTATTTCCACCAGCCGCCTCCAGACCTGCAAAACCCACACATTCATGGCAGCCACTGTGCCAGCTAATGATTCTGTCAGGGGCAGTGGAAAAATCTGGGAATGGGTAAGGTTGATGGTTGGACAACATGATGAACATAATTGATGTCACTGAACTGTACATGTGAAGCTTGTTGAAGTATCACAGGTTTTGTTACATGTATGATTACCACAATTATAAAAAATATGGCATGGGCCAATTTAGAAAGATGAGATTTGCCAGAAAGCCTTACTCATGAACCGATTTTTAAAAATAAGATAATATAAATAAATAATAATAACTTAAAAATTTTATTTCACTGAAATTTTTTAAAAAGTGTTATTTTATGAAAAAAGGAAGACCAGGATCATCATGCAAAGAGCACTAGTCTACGAGGACACATGGGTTCTGATCCACCTTTGTCACTGGTGAGCAGGATTAGTGGGATGTCATTGTGACCCTTAGCCTTATAAAATGAAGGGCACTGATTGGACTAGCTCATTCTGCTGTGTAATCATTGTTTCTTTTGCAAGCATTTTTCTCCTACTTTTTACTGTGGAATTTTTTCAGCTGACAAACAAGTTGGCAAGAAGAGTACATGCCACCTATATACCCTCACCAGTTGTTAACGTTCAACACTGCTGCTCTATTTCTCTCTCTAAGTGTTTTCTTGGCTGAACTATATGAAAGTAAGTTGCCAACACCACGTGTTCCTAAATACATGGGCAGGCGCCTCCTGTCAACAAGGCCTTCTGCTACACAGCGACATTCAGAATGCTAAGTGCAGGTGTCACACCTGGGACAGTTAGCCGCAACATGATATGACGGTGTATGTCACGGACAACATCACGTTTCCCCAGCTGGCCACACCATGTGCCACACAGCTGACTTCTCGGACCAGGATCCAGCCTAGGAACACGCACTGATGTGGTTGTCAGGCCTCTTTTCTGGAAGAGTTCCCCAGCCTTTAATCTTCTTTCATGACACGGACAAGTTTGAAAGCTTCAGGTCAACTGTTTTGAAACTGTCTCTCAATTTTCACATGATTAAGTGCTGATTAAACATCTTTGGGAGGAATACTATCAGGCTGAATTCTATGAAAATGTCCTCTTTGTAGGTCAAGCGTGGTCGAATACCACAGCTTCACCTGGCTCTAACACATGGGTGATATTGTTGCCATCTCAGAGCACCACAGCAGGAGTCCCGTGATGTCTGTTTGTCCTGACTGCTCATATGAAAGGGCTAAGCTTGGTTAAGACGCTGTCTGCCAGATTGTTCCCTTATAATTAAAATAGAATCTGTAGAGCAATACTTTGAGTCTTTGTGAATCTGAGATTCCCCAACAACTTTTTACCTGTTGATTTTAACATTATTGATGATTCTTGTCTGTGTCAGTTATTACTCTTGTATCACAATTATACTGCAATTATTTCTTCTACATTTATTAGTTAGCATTCTCCTGATTTTTTTTTAAAAGAGCTTTCCTCATTTTTTTCTTTAAACATACGTTTAAAATATCAATGGATTATAATCCAGTCTTGTCATTATTTACTTTGATACTCAAATTGTCCCAGATTTGGCTAGTGGGAGTCCCTTCAGGCTGGCTTCTGTTTCCTTTTATAAAAAATATGGAATGATTTTAGATTTATAGAAATGTTGCAAAGACTGTACAGAGTTTGCCATATACTCTTCACCCAATTTCCTCTAATGTTAATATCTTACATAACCATGGTACACTTGTCAAAGCTAAGGAATTAACATTTTTTTGGTTGTTGTTGTTGTCCGCCAACGAATCAAACGTTATTTAGATTCCCCTGTTTTTTCCCCACTAATATCCTTTTTCTATCCCAGAATTAAATCTAGGATATCACATTGTGTTTAGTCCTGTTCCTTCTGACATGGCACCATTAGTCTTTGAGCACTTCTTACTTTCTGGCACTACAAGATGTTCCAGACTCACCTTGTACTGTTCCTGCCCCACTGCTTGAATCACTTATTTCTTCAAGAAACACGGGTTTCCATTAATAGGGAAAGGTACTTAGAAACCATAATTGGCCCTCAGTGTGCTCATGTTCCTGGGGTGTCATTATTTATATAGTCTTTCATTGGATGAAGCTAGGAATTTGTTTTTTTTTAATCCTGAGTTCATACTGGTATCTAATTCCATCTAAACCTCAGCGTTCTCCTCTTTCCCCTATTCCGTATCTCCCTCTTCCCACAGTGAGAAATCTGGTTTCCAACACCATAAATACCTTTATTCATTTCTTCAGTCTTATAATACACACAAACTAGTTTCAAAATTGCCGCTTCCATTCCATCACCGACAAGCAGAAGGTCCCAAGGTGGCACAAACTGTTTGCACTTGACTGCTAACCTACAGTTTGGCAGTTTGAACCCACCTAGCAGCACCATAGAAGAAAGGCCTAGCAATCTGCTTCTGTAAAGATTACATCCAAGAAAACTCAATAGGACAGTTTTCCTCTGTAACACGTGGGTTTGCCATGAGTTGGAATCCACTCCACGGCAGCTAACAACAACAACACTTCTAAGTAAAGTTTCAAGGTTTATTTGCTTTTCCTTTGGTTTTGACCTTTGACCACTGACTGCAAGTGAGTGGTCAGAGGAACATGCCCCAGTTAGATTCATGATTCTCCGCTCTGTGTGGACATGCCATAAGTTGTAAGGTTTATTTGTTTCTGTTTCTATAGACAGTTTCAGCTGTGTAACGTTATGATTATCCCTTCAGAGTACCCCTAGAGGGCAACAGCCTACTGAAATCTGGTTAAACTAGAAAAGAGGGCTGTCTGGTTGGATTCTTTGTCTCACTTTCTAGACTCCTGTCCATGCAGCTAGTTACATTTTTAGGAACGTGGTCCCCTCGGCCTAATGTGCTTTTACTGTGCTTCAGGCTGAATGGAAAAATGTCAGAGCCTGTGTCCCTGGCTGCTCTGCCTGAGCTTCAATCCTGACTACTCCACTCACTCCACATCTCCCCAAAACTTGATTACCTGTTTGTACAACAGCACCACCCTCCTTGTGGACATCCAGTTATGTTTTAATGATTATTGCCATGATCACTGTGCTCACTTAGAACCACTCTTTCACGTCAGTGCGTCAACAGCTGTCCTTACCCCATACTTAATGCTTTCAGGATGACCCCATTTAGAATCCTGCAGTAATACTTAATTCACTTCTGTTTGGGTGGTATTTCCATCCATTAGTCTGAAACTTCACACTGCAGTTAGAGAAGGATCTTTAATTAAAAGGCACAAGTATTGGCCTTTGCAGCTTCCTATCTTGATGAACAGACATTGGCACACTGGCCTGGGTCCTGCAGGAGGCACAGAAGTGTCTGGAAGTTGGCTGTGAATTCAGTTCCAGCGTCTCAAGAGTCAGGGATATTGCACTGCCCCAGGCGGACACAGCCAGGAAGAACCACCGTGGCTCTGTGATGTGAGAATGTGGCCAACTTGTCTCACAAACATACACTAAAGCGCTGGTGGTGTCAGAGGGAGGAGCCTGAGCCATTGTTGGCGATGCTCCTTCCTCCAGGCTCTTGTCTCAGAGGTGCAGGAACGGGGTCGCTATGAGTCGGAACCAACTAGACAGCACCTAATGACAACATCTCAGCTCTGATTTCCGAGGGAAACTGGCTTTGCTTATGGAAACATGATTGTAGCCCACTGCGGGGCCACATCCAGTTCATGAAGCGAGAGATCTCGCATTTCATACGGCTGCTGACTTGGGTATCTTCAGAACCTACCCAGTTTCCAAGTCAAGGGTAAAGATAATTTTAACCAGGTTCCATGGTCTACCCAACAACCTGGAAGCTCTAATGGCTCAAGAGGCATAATGTTCACAACTTCTAGGATATAAGACAAGAACACAAAGGCATTTAAATAAATAAATAAATAAAAACAGGCACAAGTCTTATGTCCCTTACTGCCTTCCCTCTCCCTTCTGCTGGCTTACGCTCGAGGGGTTTCCTTGACCCATTTACCAGACATAACAGCCTCACCTCAGTCCTCTGTCCCTACTTCTCTGTAGCATATAACTCTGCTGAGCACCCCTCTTTGTGGGAGTCCCCCATTGCCCAACCTCTTGTGGTCCATGCAGCCAGCTTGGAACTCTTTTCCTTGTCTCCAGATGCAGCTCTACATTTTCCTCTCAAATAGCTCTTGCTCTCATCTTCCTCTTCCATTCTCAAGGTCACACACCTAACTCATAACCTCAGCGCTGAAACAGACTCCCCAGGTCTCTCCTGAAAGCCGCTAACTCGGAGTGACCTCTCGATGGGCTCCATTACCACTGCTGCATCCCTGGCAGCCGCGCCACCATCACAGGGACCAAGGGGGCCAGGAGACAACGTGACAAGCACTTTACATTGAGATCTCTTTGAAGCCTCGGACAACCCTGTTAGATGAACGTCTACTCCCTATGTTACACATGAGAACCAGGGCTCCAGTGAAGGCTCATACCTAGCCCTGAGTTGCCCAACTGGTGAGCAGCAGAGTCCAAACCAGAGCCTCGTGTGGTCCTGACTCTTAGGATGTGGACGTGACTGATCTACTGTACAGAAATTATCAAAGAATATCATTAATATCACACGCAAGTAAAATTTTGCTAGAGATCATTCCAAAGTGGCTGCAGCAGTATATCGACAGGGAACTGCTAGAAATTCAAGCTGGATTCAGAAGAGGACTTGGAACCAGGTATATTGCTGATGTCAGATGGATCCTGGCTGAAAGCAGAGAATACCCGAAAGATGTTTACCTGTGTTTTATTGACTATGCAAAGGTTTTCGACTGTGTGGATCATAACAAATTATGGATAACACTGCGAAGAATGGGATTCCAGAACATTTAATCATGCTTATGAGGAACCTGTACATAGATCAAGAGGCAGTCATTCAAACAGAACAAGGAGATACTGCGTAGTTCAAAGTCAGGAAAGGTGTGCGTCAGGCTTGTATCCTTTCACCATACTTATTCAATCTGTGTGCTGAGCAAATAATCCGAGTACTGGACTATATGAAGAACGGGGCAAAAGGATTGGAGGAAGACTCATTAACAACCTGCGTTATGCAGATGACACAACCTTGCTTGCTCAAAGTGAAGAGGACTTGAAGCACTTATTGATGAAGATCAAAGACTACAGCCTTCAGTATGGATTACACCTCAACATAAAGAAAACAGAAATCCTCACAACTGGACCAATAAGCAACATCATGATAAATGGACAAAATACTGAAGTTGTCAAGTATTTCATTTTACTTGGATTCACAATCAACACCTGTGGAAGCAGCAGCCAGGAAATCAAAAGATGCATTGCAGTGGATAAATCTGCTGCAAAAGACCTTTTTAAAGTGTTGAAAAGCAAAGATGTCACCTTCAAGACTAGGGTGCCATGGTGTTTTTTTTCAACAACGAAAACAACTGCACTGCTATTCAAAACCCTCCAGCAGTTTCTCCACTTTCAGCAAAGCTTACCTCAACTTCCTCAGGATACGTGAAATAGACACACGAAGAAAGTAAGCTCTGGAACATTTTCTTTGTAAAAATACGTTGAAGCCAACATCTAGTAGCGGTAAGAGCTCCCTGGAATACCATTTTTACTGAATCCTTCCCGGTTTCACTGCCATGCGTTTCTGCCCAGTCCTGTTATCATATGAGAGAGAGAGTTCAGTTGTTCTCAGACACAGTGGATTCAGGTTTTCAAAGAGACCCTGCACTTTGGCCTCCCCTGGATCATCGGGCGTACCAGCAGATGCTCAATAAATAGCTACAGTTAAGTTGCACATATATGTTCAGACCCACCAGGGTGGTAAGGAGCCTACATTTTCAAAGCACTTTAATTTTCCCAGAATTTCGGGTGTTCAGTGTGAAAGTGGGAGGTATGGGGGAACATGGGGGAGTCTGAATGGCATTGATTTTCCAGATGGAGGTCTCCCCGGGCTTCAGTCAAAGCAGAGGTAGACCCTGCCTCACCCGCACGCTGACATCCATGGGCTCTGGTGGGAGGAAAGGGGGTCATGCAGCTTCCAGAGGGGCGAGGAAGAAAGCACCCCAATGGCACGGAGCTTCCAGCAGCCGTAGCCCAGAGGACCCCAAACTAGTATGCGTGCAGACTCCACTGACCCTGTTCCTGCTGACACAAGACAGCTGGTCTGTCAGCCAGGAGGCAGCCCACGCCCGCCTCCTTCCCACCTGTGCTTTCTCTGGTGAGGCTTCCCCTCCCTCCTCCTCCCCTACCCATCCCCACACCCCCGTAAACTCCCCATTCCACGGAGGCTCAGGCCTCCACAAGGGCGTCCCTCCGCCCCTCCTCACTCCAGGGACCTCTGCCCCTCACTGGGACCCTCCTCATTGTCCCTCACTCAGCCCCTCATCTCTGCCCCCAAGTCCTGACTTGGTCCTGGTGACCACTTGGTCCACGGAGCTGACGCCTTAACACCCTGGCTCCCAAGCTCCTTGGAATCTTCAAACCAGTGGCCTTTGCCTGCACTCGCTTTGTTCACCAACGCCCAGGGTCACACGCAGGGCCCTGGTGTCACCTGGAACTGCTACTGCATCACTGCCCCATCACTCCTGACCCTCAGCCTCTCCAGAACCACCCACCCTGTCACCCTCCATGCTCCGCCAGTATCGGAGCTGTCTGCTCACTCCGCACCCTTTCTGAAGTCTAGACTGAGCCTCCTGTACATCAGGCCAGTGACTTGCTCACCCCAGGTCTCCCGAACCCTGACCTCCTGAAGTAGCCACCCTGCAACCTCACAACATTACAGATCAATCCAGCTGTTTTCCTTCTCCCCTTTCCCAGGCCACCAGACTCAGCCAGGCCCTCACCACGCTTGGCAGTCCCTCCACACGTCAGCACCTTGGACAGAGAGGACTCCTCTCCAGGGCTCCACCTGCCTATTGGATACTACATGTCTAAGACCAAACTCAGCCCCTCCTCCTGACAGCTTGAAGTATACTTCTAAATCAAACTCAGCCCTTCCTCCTGACAACTCCAACTACCCTCTAAATCCCAACTCAACCCTTCCTCCTGGCACCTGAGCCTCCTCCTGTGGCCCCTAGCCCCTTGGGCTACCACTACCCACATGCCACTCAAGTCAGAGGCTTAAGTGTCATCCTACCTCCTCCCTCACGATCACCCCACCCAGTCACTCAAGTCCCGTTGATTCTACCTACTAAATGGTTCTCACAGGCATCTCATCAGTGAGGCCTCACCTGGCCACCCTTGCCACCTGCTATAAATAGCAAACCAGAATCTCCCAGCTCTGTGTGTCCCCATAGTCATTGGGTATACCATACATTCACACATGCACAGCCCCTTCCTCCTCCCCCCCCTTCCTCGAAGGTAAACCCGAGGAGATAAGGACATGGACTTCTGTTCACTGAGTGTCCTGAAAGCCAAGAGCGGAACCGGCAAGGAGCAGGTCCTTGATAAATACTTGATAACTGAATCACTCCACCTCATTCCGCAGTCCTAGACCTGGTCTACCTCCTTTGTAAATTGAGCCTTCTTGAAATTCCACAGCTATCCTGGGTGTGACATTATGTGTATTTATTCCACTTACCACCACAGGTTGAAGTGAAACAATTCTGCAAACAATCTCTGCAGACAAGGCTGGCATCTCAGAAAACTTCGGGTTTTTTGTGATTTTGCAAATGGTTTCGTGAAATTTCAGGCAGACAGTCAAGTAGGACTGTAAGAAGGGCTCCTCAGGAACCCTGTTGCACAAAGAGTTGAGAGAAATTACTGATAGGAGAAATGAGAAACCAATATCCATTACTGATGACAAGTTACTACCGTTTAAAATAGCAACAAGCGAGGCATTTATTTTCCAGTAATATCTGGAAAACCAGGTGGCCCGGAACTTACGACTCAGTTAAAAAGTAAACAAGCCTCAATCGGTTTGCCTCTGTAGTCTGAACTGCTCTTAAAAAAGCAAGGAGCAAGTTAAAATATTTCCAAGTGCATTCCTTTATTTGAAAAAAGGAAGAAGTGTTGTCTTAGTTAAGCTGTTGTTGTTGTTAGGTGCCGTCGAGTCAGTTCCGACTCATAGCACCCCCACATACAACAGAACGAAACACTGCCCGGTCCTGCGCCATCCTCACAATGGTTATGCTTGAGCCCGTTGTTGCAGCCACTGTGTCAATCCATCTCGTTAGGGGTCTTCCTGTCTTTCACTGACCGTCTATTTTACCAAGCATGATGACTTTCTCCAGGGACTGGTCCCTCCTGATAACATATCCAAATTATGTGAGACTAAGCCATCCTTGCCTCTAAGGAGCATTCTGGCTGTACTTCTTCCAAGACAGATTTGTTTGTTTTTCTAGCAGTCCATGGTATATTCAATATTCTTTGCCAACACCATAATTCCAAGGCATCAATTGTTCAGTCTTCCTTATTCATCGTCTAGCTTTCGCATGCATATGGGACGACTGAAAACCCCATGGCCTGGGTCAGGTGCACCTTAGTCCTTAAAGTGACATCTTTGCTTTTCAACACTTTAAAGAGGTCTTTTGCAGCAGATTTGCCCAGTGCAGTGCTTCTTTTGATTTCTTGACTGCTGCTTCCATGGGTGTTGATTTTGGATCTAAATAAAATGAAATCCTTGACAGCTTCAATATTTTGTCCGTTTATCATGATGTTGCTTATTGGTCCAGTTGTGAGGATTTTTGTTTTCTTTATGTTGAGGTGTAATCCATATTACAGGCTGTGGTCTGTGATCTTCATCAGTAAGTGCTTCAAGTCCTCTTCACTTTCAGCAAGCAAGGTTGTGTTGCCTGCATAACGGAGGTTGTTAATGAGTCTTCCTCCAATCCTCATGCCCCGTTCTTCTTCATTTAGTCCAGTTTCTCAGATGATTTGCTCAGTATACAGACTGAATAAGTATGGTGAAAGGATAGAACCCCGATACACACCTTTCCTGACTTTAAACCACGCAATATCCCCTTATTCTGTCCGAAAGACTGCTTCTTGATCTGTGTACAGGTTCCTCATGAGCCCAATTAAGTGATCTGGAATTCCCATTCTTCACAATGTTATCCATAATTTGTTATGATCCACACAGTGGAATGCCTTTGCATAGTCAGTGAAACACAGGTAAAATTCTTTCTGGTATTCTCTGCTTTCATCCAGGATCCATCTGACATCAGCAGTGATACCCCTTGTTCCATGTCCCCTTCTGAATCTAGCTTGAATTTCTGGCAGCTCCCTGTCAATGTACTGCTGCAGCCACTTTTGAAAATGTGCACAATTTTACTTGCATGTGATATTAATGATATTGTTCGATAATCTCTACATTCTGCTGGATCGACTTCCTTTGGAATAGCCATAAATATGGATCTCTTCCAGTTGGTTGACCAGGTAGTGCTCTTCCAGATATCTTGGCATAGATGAGAGAGCACCTCCAGAGCTATATCCATTTGTCAAAACATCTCAACTGGTGTTCTGTCAATTCCTGGAGCCTTGTTTTTCGCCATTGTCTTCGGTGCAGCTTGGACTTCTTCCTTCAGTACCATCAATTCTTGATCATATGCTACCTCCTGAAGTGACTGAACGTCGACCAATTCTTTTTGGTACAGTGACTCTGTATTCCTTCTGTCTTCTTTTGATGCTTCCTGCGTTTGTTCGGTATTTTGCCCATAGAATCCTTCAGAATTGCAGCTCGAGGCTTGAATTTTTTCTTCGGTTCTTTCAGCTTGAGAAATGTGGAGTGTGTTCTTCCCTTTTGGTTTTCTAACTCCAGGTCTTTGCACGTGTCATTATAATACTTTACTTTGTCTTTTTCAGCCACCCTTTGGAATCTTCTGTTCAGCTCTTTTACTTCATCATTTCTTCCTTTCACTTTAGCTACGCTGCATTCAAAAGCAACTTTCAGAGTCTCTTCTGACATTCATTTTGGTCTTTTCTTTCTTCCCTGTCTTTTTAATGACCTCTTGCTTTCTTCATGTCTGATGTCCTTGATGTCATTCCATAACTCGTCTGGTCTTCAGTCATTAGCGTTCAATGCGTCAAATCTGTTCTTGAGATGATCTCTAAATTCAGGTGGGATATATTCAAGGTCGTACTTTGGCTCTTGTGGACTTGTTCTAATTTTCTTCAGTTTCAACTTGAACTTGCATATGAGCAATTGATGGTCTGTTCCGCAGTTAGCACCTGGCCTTGTTCTAACTGATGATATCGAGCTTTTCCATCGTCTGTTTCTACAGATGTAGTCGATTTGATTCCTATGTATTCCATCCACTGAGGTCTGCGTGTATAGTCTCTATTTATGTTGTTGAGAAAAGGTATTTGCAATGAAGAAGTAGTTGGTCTCACAAAATTTTATCATTCGATCTCTGGTATCATTTCTGTCACCAAGGCCATATTTGCCACCTACTGAGCCTCCTTCTTTGTTTCTAACTTTCACATTCCAATCACCAGTAATTATCAGTGCATCTTTTTTTTTTATTGTAATTTAGGTGAAGGTTTACAGAACAAATAGTTTCTCATTAAACAGTTAGTACACATATTGTTTTATGACGTTGGTTAATAACCCCACAACATGTCAACCGTCTTCCTTCTCGACCTGTTTTTTGGTGAAAATATACATAGCCAAAGATACACCATTTCAAAAATTTCTACATGCACAGTTCAGTGACATCGATTACATTCTTCCAGT